TGTGGGTTATGTTTGCCGTTGTTTGTAATTGTATGACATTGAGTTTTTCTTTTAACAAGTCTATTGTGGATTGTGTTGTAGATGATGGATGCTGGATTTGTTTATTTGTCTCATCCCTGAGGGATCTGAGAAGGGCAGTATATTCCTGTTTTTCTCGCTTGTTGAGATAGGCCTGTTGGCTTATTATTATACCCCTTATGACTGCTTTGTGTGCTTCCCACAAGGTAGCTGGCGAAATCGTAGGTGTATCGTTATCACTGAAGTATGACGTTATGTCCGTTGTCAACTTATCTTGGAATTGTTTGTTATATAGGAGTGTATCATTGAGGTACCATGGCGGTTTCCCTCTGGAGCTGAAGGTGTCTCGTAACGTCATCTGCACAGTAGCATGGTCTGACCATACAATGTTCCCTATGTCGCCCCGAGACACCCTGGGTAGAAGGTCCCCTGAGACAAATATGTAGTCAATTCTAGTATACGTGCCATGCACCCGAGAGTAGAAGGTAAATTCTCTGTCATTGGGATGTAGTGTTCTCCATGTATCATAGAGGTTATATTCTGCTAGTAATTTTGTTAATTCTTTGGCCTGTTTTCGTAAGGTTTTGGCTCGTGGGGAGTCAGTCGGGGCTGTGGTATCCAGTCTTGTCTGAAGTATATGATTGAGGTCTCCACAAAGTATTTGATGAGAGTCTCTTTCAGTAGGGATTTTGGCTAGTACTTTGTGTAGAAAATTCCGTTGGTTCTGATTAGGGCTGTATATGCCTACTATGGTGTAAATTGCATCATTGATTGTGCATTGGATAATCAGGTATCTGCCCTGCGTGTCTTTCTTGAGCTGTAGGAGGTCAAAGGATAACGACTTGTGTATTAGAATGGTGACACCTCTCGCTTTAGTAGAGTATGTGGAGTGGTATTGTATGGGATAGTCTTTTGTTGCAAGGACAGGTACCCTATTATGTTTGAAATGTGTCTCCTGAATGCATACTATGTCTGCGCTAGTGTGTTGCGCTTCTGCAGCCAGAAGTCGTCTCTTGTGTGGTGTATTAAGGCCTCTTACGTTAATAGTTATTATTTTCATATCCTATAGGTTACTCCTGGGGTTTGCTGGGTAGAACGCCTTTTGTACATTGCGGAACCCATATGGGCCAAGTGGATTGAGTGACCTAAGCAGCGCTCTTGTTGATAATGATGTGGGGCTATTGCAGTGGTATGGTGTTGGTTTCCTTTATCTGACCTTAGTTGGTGATAGGTAGGGAAAGAGTAACTAGGGAGTGGTAGGTAAGGGGGAACTATGTACAGGATGCCTCTGTCAGAGGCAGTGCGTGGGAGTCCCACAGCACGAGGGTTGTAGGAGATTATTTTCTCCATTACGTGGCAGTTGGGCTAGAAATACGGAAAAATGAAGAAATAAGAGAAGAAAGCTGTCTTCGTTAGAGTCAGCTAGGGCGTATTGGACCAGTTAGGTTTTTTTTTTTTTTTTTCTTTGTTTTTTTTTTTAGATCTTTAATTACGTGAACTTGTTTTTGGTGTCAGGGGTCGCGCAGCCTCCTCCCCTTTATATGGTACCTGTCTGTCATTATCCTCCTCCATCTGTGGTTACATATCTGTGTCCTCTGTATTAGGCTCTACCTAAGCCTCCCGTGAGCCTCTCGTCTCAACCCAGATGTGGTGTTCCCAGTTATGCTCCCGATATTCCCCCCACCCCTCCCCATCTCATGCAACCGATATATTATACCTGAAGGAAGGGGCATATGTAGTATATTCCCGTGTCTCCCTCCCCCTCTACACACCACTTGCGGGTGAATGGGTTCGCAGTCATTTGTTAAGGTTCATATGTTCCGCTAGTCGGGTCTGTCATCATTACCGTGTTAGGGGGAAAGGCCCCCGGCGGCATACAGCGGGTCCAACCCGTCCGCTCTCACACCGCGCTTGGGTCCTCGCAGGCCATCACTGCTCAGCGTACGCTTCGTTGCAGGTAGCAGCTGGGCCCCGCGGCCCGACCATCCAGTCCCGAATTATGGTGAAGCCATATAGTGTGCGCTCCCGCACAGAGGGGGTCACCCACGTCCCGGGCCTATATCTGCCCGTCCAGCTCCCTCCGGCCCATGTGATTGTGTAACCCGTGGAACTCACTTCATATGTTAGGGGACTAAAGCTTCCCAGCCCCCGTGGAACACTTTGCTCGCCGAGTACCTCCCCCCCGGCCTGCGGCACCCATCTCTAAGACAGAACTCATATCATGGCAGTGGCATGGGACACATATTATACATTCCCGCACTCATCCCTCCCCCTTCCCCATCATACCGCATGTAGTCAATTGAGTTAGAGTCCAACCGCTAAAGTCCACTGTGGTTTATCGCGGAGGCCGGCACCCCCAAAAAAGAGAGAGAGAGGGGGGAAAAACCCACGGCAACATCCGATCGGGAAGGTCTTCTCCCCCACGGGTATCTCCGCCTCACTCCAGCCCCGCTTGCACCAGGCCGACCCACATTGCTCTGTGCATGCTTCGTTACAGGGGGTGGCTAGGCCCGGACCCGGTACCGCACAGCTGCCGCCAATGGAAGTTCGGGATGCACAAGGGACACACATCTGACATGCTCCGGAGAAGAGGATCGCGCCCGTCCCGACCCGTATTTAACCGTCCCGGTTACCTTTGAGCCAGTGGGTCAACTGACTTAATGTTTCTTTTGGGTGTGTTGTTTCCAGTCAGTGTCGAGTCTTCCTGGGGGTGAATGCGTCGGAGCCTGCTTGTCATCCGAGAGTCCCCAGGCTTTTAACTTTTTAAGGCCTTCCGCTGGAGAGTGAAGTATGGTGGTTTCTCCGTCTCTTGAAACGATGAGCTTTGTGGGGAAGCCCCATCTATAGCGTACCTCGTGGGTTCTCAGCACACTTGTAATTTGCTGGAACTCTTTCCGTTTTTGGAGGGTTGCAGATGAGAGATCGACGTAAATCTTGACCGTGGGGTAATCCTCTGGGGGACTAGTGCGTATTCTGCTGCTCCTCAGTACATGCTCCTTGATATGGTGGTAATGTGCACGTAAAAGTATATCCCTCGGCACCGCTTGCGCGATGTGGCGCGGTTTGGGGACGCGTGTACTCGGTCCACCAGGAGCATGTCTGTGGGGACCTCCGGTACAAAGGCATGCAGTAGGCCGCGGACATATGCAGGTAAGTCCTTGTTTGCCACTTCCTCTGGGACCCCCCTAAGTCTCAGGTTATTGCGGCGGGACCGGTCTTCTAAGTCAGCCATCTTCTCCTCCATCTTGTGAACTTTGGTAGCCAGCTGTTCCACATGGGTAGCTAAGTCGTTATGGGCTGTGGCGAATTCATCACACTTGTCTTCCACATGTGATGTTCTTTTACCCAGTTCGTGTAAGTCCTTTCTCAGGGAGTCTGCCGTGTGTTGCCACGTGGATATCAATTTGCTTGAGAGCTTGTCTAAGGCCTCTGTGAGGTCTGATTTGGTGATCTGTGATGTTTCTGTAGGGGAGCCCGGGCCGCCGCATAGCATGCCGTCGTCCGAATCCAAATCACTGGAGGCTTTTGCGGCCTGCATGATCACAGCGGAGGAAACTTACTTAGAGCCAAAAAAATTACTTTTGTCTGGCTTTGCTACTTTCTTGGTACTTTTGCGTTGCGACATATTGCTTTTCTGGTGTTGGATGCAGCTTTCTTGCTGGTGGATTACATTAGATTGAGAGCCCAAATACCAGAGCAAGAATCTATGCGTCCATCTTGCTGGCTAACATTATTTCTGATTGGTTTACGTCATCTCCGATAATAGATAACCCCTGGATGACGTGGCCACTTTAAGGGATGGAGTGAAGTCACAGTATTTGAATTAGAAAAGACTCTCTAATAAAACGACCAGCGTCTATTATAATGCAGGGAAGAATGCAGCTAACAGGATTTCGGTCCGTGCGAGCCAGCAGAGGGAGCTGTTCTCCTGACCGAATGGTATGTATTCCTGAACGCTCCATGTGGCCGCGCGAGCCAGAGGAGCAGCGTGGGAGCTGCTAACAGGTAAGTTCATGACACAATCTCCATCAGTATGACGTCTACAGCATGACTAAGCATTCACCGATATCTCTGCATGCATATCTAATAGGCACAGACTCTATTATCTGTGACTCCACTCTAATAAAATGACAGACACGTTGTCAAGCTGTTATATGTGAATACTACATATTCTGAATATCTGGTCAAACCCAAATACTGCAGTCCACTTGTATATATTCCAGTAGATCTGTCCAGGCCTCGACAACATTGTCAAACAAAGAAAGAATAGACTGCGCCTAAGAAGATCGATAACCTCTAGATGTAATCACACAGCAAAAAAAAAATAAAAAAAAAATATATATATATATATATATATATATATATACGTACTCTTCATTTTTTTATGCCAGGTATCTCAAAAAAGAGAAACAAAATACAGAACATAGTGTAATAAGTTTTATAATAAACTAGAATAAAATGATGTAACAGGGATAAACTCACACTTTATAGAGCTATTGAGAGCTCTGCTGTATTCAGCATGGATGGTCCAATACCTGTCTAAGTATATAATGCAGCAGTGGTGATGGTATTACTCCAGAAAGTGAATTATGTGGAGACAAAACGTGGAGATATTCAATGGTATAATATAGAAGCAATCCATGGTGTTATTTAAAAGGTAGGTATCCTTTTTTTTAGAGCATGGACCTGCTCTGGTGTGTAAACTTGTTGGTGGTATAATCCTTGCCTGGGATTGGTATAGCCAGGAAGCCAGTATATAACAAAGTCAAATACAAAATAAATTGAAAAGTAAAACAAATTTACTGACTAACTGCATTCCTTTGTTTGGCAGTGTTCATGCCTTAATATGTTAAAGATACATGTAAGTAATGTTCATCCACCTACTGCCAGTATATCAGTTAGAATTTTTTGAATGTGAGTATGCTCTGCAATTTCTGTGATATTACCCGATGTTGTTGACATAAGTCTTATCATTGTTATAGAACGTTACCTACACCACAATCCACTTCAGTGACAATAAACAATCTGCAGATTACCAAAATGTGTTCGGGAAATCTGACTACGTTAATATAGAACCAGCAAATGACATGCACTACAATCGAAAGAAGGCCCTATTGAAGATGGGTGGATCAGTGGAATATTCAGACGTTAGTTGCACAGGTCCCATTTCTAACAAATGTAAATCTCCCCAAAATATTACTCCTGAGATATAATTTTATTCATAAAAGCGGATGGCCAGTGTAGGGGAGCCTTGAAAAGTCCAAAGTCTGATTTTCTTTCCTATGTATTTTTTATGTTGTATATAATCTCAAACTTATTTGTGCAATGCAACATTTTATTGGATTGATACACAGTTATGAATGTACAATTTGCAATGAATCATTATCTGCTAAAAAGGTTAGCACAGAAAAGGTCTGAATTATTTTCAAGATATAGAAAGCTATAATAGATCTCGAATTTGGACGTTTGGAGGCATATTCAAAATAGTTTTCTCATCTAAATTAGTTTTGTCAAACTCAAAAAAGGATGGACCCAGGATTGTTTTATATATTTATATATAAATAAGTTAGGCATTGCAATTAGGCCTTTAACTGACACAAGTGATGCTGGCAACATTATAAATGTACCTTTAGGATTAAAAAAAACATTTCAAATGTAATAGAGAATCATGAATTATTTCACATGTATAAAGTAGCATTTGCTTAAAAATAAAAAAATCTTCATAATGCCTTTGACTTATGTTTTTTTTATTTATTTTATTATTTATGTGGCTAGATTTTAACATCCTGACACTTGAAATTCAGATTTGGATTAAACAAATCTCCGCACAATGGTCTAAGTGCACCAATAACATTTTAGCTTTATTAAGCAGTTTTTGTGTATAGATTATGCTCTGCAGTTTCACAGCTCAGGTCTCTGCCATTTAGGAGTCAAATCACCTTGTTTATACACCTCCCTGCATGTAACTTACACAGCCACCCTACAAATTTCCTATGAAGCAAGATCTAATTTTTAAACTAACTTTATTCCTGTTTAATTTAGAATTTATCGTTTGCTCTGTTAATAGCCATCTAGACCCTGCAGGAGCCCCCAGTGTTTAATACAGAGCTGGAGATAAAACATTCTAAAGTAAGTTGACATTTGCTTGATAATGAGACCATTTTTTAATGCAGGTTGTGTGAGTCACAGCCAGATGTGGTGTGGTAGGGCTGCATGAACAGAATCTGTTATCTGCTATTTAGAAAGCTAAATAGCTAAATATTTTTTGTTTCTTTTCATGCAGCCCTACCACACCACATCTGGCTGTGATTCACACAACCTGCATTAAGTATACAAAATGAAAACGGTGTACACAAGCTCAGCAAGGTGAAAAACAGGCTCTAACACTTAAGTGAAGAAATCCCTTAACCTCCACAACATAGAACATGCAAATAAAACAAAATATAAGTGGAGCTCTGGATTACCTGTATGAACAGTAATATATTGGAGATGAATACAAATATTGTCAAGATAAAAATCTGTAAGTAAATAGTGATAGATCTAAGTGTAGACAATAATTACAAATGAATTGACATAAGAAATAACTTTAAGATGGGTAACTCACAAAGGTGGAGCCAATAGAACACTTGGCTCTAGTGGTAAGCGCCTTAGGATCTTCTAGGGGAGATCCACCACCCTCTTTTTGTTCCTCCTGGTGTCTTCCTCCTTACATATAAGTAGGAATGGAATTGCAGACTCCACAGGACGGTATAAACAAAATTTATTGTATAAAAGCATAAACTTTAAAATATATATAAAAACAAAATGGATCAAATTACTTTAAATGATTCCAATGTGCTCCCAAAACGCGTTTCGCCAGTGAACTGGCTTCCTCAGTTGGTATGTTCATTGTGTGTCCTCTTGTTCTTTTATACAAGTCTAAATAATAAAATTGCCGGCATCTGCCGGACCGGAAGTTGACTCCGTGGAACGCACGCCGCACTGGTTGGAACGCACGTACGTGCGTGTGTGCGTCAGTCACATGGTTAGACTATTCAATTTCCTTTTTCTTCGTTGGAACGCACATGCGTTCCACAGTCTTGAATAATACGATCTGGCCATTTTACTTCCGCATTCTCCGTGGAACGCACCATATGCGTTCCATAATCTTTTTTATTCATGACAAGAGTCCTTAAATTTCCAGTCCATATAGTCTCAAAAAAGTCAATGGAAAGAAGAAGAGATAAACTAATAAAATATATTATAACACACAAAGGCATCACCATTGATATTAATATTAGTGAACACTATTACTTCTATCATGTGCATAATAACAATGGTGTACCCCTAAGATTATAAAAACTATTAAAAATGCTTTTATAAAAAACTGGAAGGGTGAGGAAAAACAGTGTAATATATCATTAACATTTGGATATTATATTTTCTCTTTCTACTATAAAAAGTGGCATAGTTCAAAATCCAAATTTAATCCATGAGGGACCATGGTATTGAAATTGAAAATAAAAGACATTTCTTCCATCCCAATTTTCTTTATAAAATCTCCACCCCTCCAATTTTTTTTAAACCAATTTAAGTGCGCAAAACACAAGACCTTGTGGATTTTAAAGAGGTAGACTGTAACGGTTATATCGATCTTACTAGTTGTCATTTTAAAAACAAAGAAAAACGTTACCTGCGCTCTGGCCTAGATCCCCATGTGACTTTGAACAAAAAAGGAGGCTCTTTAGTTCTATTCTAAATGGCCATTTGAATATGTAAGCTCACCAGCCACGTCAAGGCAAGCCTGTGGCTCACGAATGCACCCAAGAGACCGTTCATGAGGCTAAAAAGAAATTGTACAAAAGATGAAGATTTTTTACAACAAACACAAATTATTAAAAATCAAATCTTAGAAAAAGGATATGAAGAAGAAGACCTCCAAAAGGGTATAGAAGAAATAAAAAGATTAGAACGAAAGGAATTGCTAATATATAAAAAGAAAAAAGCGAGAATAGAGAATAATAAATGCAATATCCCCTTCATTTGTAATTTTTATACCAATAATAAGAAAGTACGGCACGCTATCAATAAATATTGGCACTTATTACAAGATGATCCGATTCTAAAAGAAATATTACCGGAGAGACCTAAAATTGTCCATAGGGGATGCAAAAATATAATTTTTTTTTTAGTAAATAGCAATTTAAAGAATCATCAGGTTGAAAATGAGAACTTCTTAACAAAGAATAAAGGGTTCTATGGGTGTGGAATATGCATAGCATGTAGGGAGACCATAAGTAAAAAAAGACATATAAAGAATACAAAAGAAATCACTAATAAAGAGTTTACAATAAGAGACCAATTGACATGTTTCTCTAAAAATATTATTTATTTATTAATTTGTCCGTGTAATAAAATGTATATAGGGAGGGCCATTAGATGCCTCCATGTTAGAGTTTCGGAACATGTGAGAAACATTAAAAAAGGAGTCGATACACACAGTGTTTCCCAACATTTCAAACAGTACCATCATCAAAATCCACAAGGTCTTGTGTTTTGCGCACTTAAATTGGTTTAAAAAAAATTGGAGGGGTGGAGATTTTATAAAGAAAATTGGGATGGAAGAAATGTCTTTTATTTTCAATTTCAATACCATGGTCCCTCATGGATTAAATTTGGATTTTGAACTATGCCACTTTTTATAGTAGAAAGAGAAAATATAATATCCAAATGTTAATGATATATTACACTGTTTTTCCTCACCCTTCCAGTTTTTTATAAAAGCATTTTTAATAGTTTTTATAATCTTAGGGGTACACCATTGTTATTATGCACATGATAGAAGTAATAGTGTTCACTAATATTAATATCAATGGTGATGCCTTTGTGTGTTATAATATATTTTATTAGTTTATCTCTTCTTCTTTCCATTGACTTTTTTGAGACTATATGGACTGGAAATTTAAGGACTCTTGTCATGAATAAAAAAGATTATGGAACGCATATGGTGCGTTCCACGGAGAATGCGGAAGTAAAATGGCCAGATCGTATTATTCAAGACTGTGGAACGCATGTGCGTTCCAACGAAGAAAAAGGAAATTGAATAGTCTAACCATGTGACTGACGCACACACGCACGTACGTGCGTTCCAACCAGTGCGGCGTGCGTTCCACGGAGTCAACTTCCGGTCCGGCAGATGCCGGCAATTTTATTATTTAGACTTGTATAAAAGAACAAGAGGACACACAATGAACATACCAACTGAGGAAGCCAGTTCACTGGCGAAACGCGTTTTGGGAGCACATTGGAATCATTTAAAGTAATTTGATCCATTTTGTTTTTATATATATTTTAAAGTTTATGCTTTTATACAATAAATTTTGTTTATACCGTCCTGTGGAGTCTGCAATTCCATTCCTACTTATATGTAAGGAGGAAGACACCAGGAGGAACAAAAAGAGGGTGGTGGATCTCCCCTAGAAGATCCTAAGGCGCTTACCACTAGAGCCAAGTGTTCTATTGGCTCCACCTTTGTGAGTTACCCATCTTAAAGTTATTTCTTATGTCAATTCATTTGTAATTATTGTCTACACTTAGATCTATCACTATTTACTTACAGATTTTTATCTTGACAATATTTGTATTCATCTCCAATATATTACTGTTCATACAGGTAATCCAGAGCTCCACTTATATTTTGTTTTATTTGCACAACCTGCATTAAAGCTAAAGTTGTTTTGATACCTCTATTATTGCTTTAAATATTGGATGAGTCATTTAAGCAGTATCTCAGTTTCATTGTTTGTTTATAGCAATGATAAAATTAGGTCCCACCATATTGGGGCATTTTGAAGATGTTGTAAACTAAGTACATCTAAATGATTTTAAGTACAAGATATTTAAATAGTGTGATACAACCATGCACATGGTTCTTGTTTTACTCCTATACCCACTGAAGGAAAACTAGATACACACAGTATTAGTATTAGTCCTGTTATTGTTTATTTATTTTTTTATATCTAAAATTCCATGCTACACTTATTCTACTCCGAGATTATGTACTACGTTTGCGGGGTTTGTGTTTCCTCTTTCTCCTGCCGATATTGTCAGTATGTCAAAAATAAAGAATTAAAATAAAATAAATAGTGTGATCCATACTAGGGGCTGTAAAAAAAATCATTTGTAAAAGAGCCTTGTCTGATTGACAGCTGGGAGTTTGCAACCTTGTCACTTTATAAATCGGTAATATCCAAATCAAATGTCACTGATCAATTCAAACACATGTGTCTAACTAAAATTAAAAGGCAGGATAAAACCTAGATATAAAAGTTATACATTGTCTGCGTTGAACCATTTTTGGGGGGTAACTCATAGGGATTTATATTATTTGAACAGGATTGGAGAGGAGACAGTTGCAAAGGTATAGTAGAGTGGTTTGCAAAAGAGTATCACATTAAATACACATGGGGCACAATTTATTTCAAATACAATTTTATAGCCATACACATTACCTAACATATATTTTTATTGTATTATACATTTCGTTTTTATTTCAACAGCGTGAGACAGCACAAAGACAGCAATGGACAAGCAATGAAGATGACTGGAAAAATTAGTGTTGAGTGAATCATAAACTCAGATATCCCAAGTTTAATTAAATGGGTGATGTCCCAATTCAGTTTTAGGAACAGACTGAGCATGTATTGTGCCTATACTTATATTGGGTAGGTTCCACAAACAACCCACAATCGTGACATATGCATGGCATACTCTCAGAATCTTCTCCAGAGAGCCACCAATGACTTGGTCTGTGCTGTGGTGGTATAAGGGGAAGGGGTACTGTACTCATTAAAGACAGGCAAGCAACAACATTTTTGTTAATCAGTTATTTCTTAAAAGTATATGTTCTGAATTTGTATATTGTCTTGTTTATTGAGTGTTACATGAATATTATAGATAGAAAAAGAACAATGACAGAGTAACATATCCAGCTTTAAGAATGACTATTATGGCATATGTCAGGATAACAGCAGAGACAAACACAGACATATAACAATATCACTTTTATTTTTTGTTGTTTTATGACAGATGTTTACTATTTATAAATTATTTTTACCAGTTGTTATATTGTTATTTCTGAGACAATTATAGGGTTATGTATTCCAGCTTTGTTTTCCAAATCCCTATTTTTGTCCACATTTTTTTTTTTTTTTTTTGTAAATAAGATTTTTATTTGTTTTGCAAATAAAGGAAATAGGGAACAGTGATACACGCAGGTATCTATTGGCATATATAATACAAAATACAGTAACAATTGCGTAACATGTACAATTATCAATCATAGGAAATGCGCTAAATGCGTTTTTGATAAGCGAGTCGTATCCAACCCAGAATGTGAATGGACTTATAGGTCCCATGTCGTATTAGTTTGTACATTGGGTACTCATGCAATTGTAGTTAGCTTGGTAGGTCGGAGAGGGGTTATGGAGATTATCTGTGGAGTACACAGAGGGGGAATGGTGTGTGTACCTTGCTTATGCCCTTCCTTCCCTTTTCTGTAATCGGTGTCTGTGTTGAGTCCCGTTTGGTCCGTGGTCCTGTCCTTTGTCCTATATAGTATGTGTCATGTTACTCTCTTTGTTCCGCATTAGGTTCGGTCATGTCTTTTAGCCTTACTGTGTCCGCGTTTGATTGCGTGACTTCTTGCTTTCTATCGGTTATCAATACTGGTCTATTGTGGGGGGCTAGTCCCTCATGGGCGCGTAGCTCCTTCTAGCTTCCCTGTTTTTCGCTTGGTCACACTTAATGCTAGTGTTTTTGGGGTGGTCCGTGTCGCTTTTTTGTCTTGTGACCTTTTTGTCGCTATTCCGTTTCTGTGTCTGTCGGCTTCTATTGTCTCATATAACTTTTTCATGGTGTGTGAGGTCCTCTCAGGGTGAGTGAGCGAGAGTGTGGGGAGGGGGGGGGAGGGGAAGGGGAGCTGATGGGGGGGAGGGAAAAAGTATGGTTAGGGTGGACGCCGGGCTGCGCGGGGGTCCCCGAGTGCCGCGAGTCTCATTGTGTATTTTTTGTCCACATTAACCAATGTAATTCATAGTTAGCCATTGTTATCAAGGTAAAGATGTGAAATCTCTTTGAGAGTGTTATATTTTGAAAAGGCACCATAAAAGCCACCTGAATGATTTTAACTGGTACATCAAATGTAATTTTACCACATGACAGGAGGCTTCATATTTTGCTTATCTTTCTTTACTAACTCCATATAGCAGCAAAGAAAAGTAATGAAAAACTGAGAACCAATCAAACACAAGCAATGTATGTCAGAGGTGAGTATAACTGAGTTACTTCCTCTTTCTTTGCTGCTCCATCACAAGTTAAGTACAGAGTTTTGCTTCTCCTCTCTCCGTCTTTCTCTTATCATACCTTTTGCTTCTGAATTTTTCGTTTTTATAGTTTTATTTACTTGTTTCTTGTTTCTGCCACCTTAGGTGGTCTTTATATCAGTGTTGCTTTGCTTACTGTTATTCAGGGACCCTCTCACTCACTCACTGACAGACACACAAACACACACTCCCTGACAGACATACACTCACTCACTGACAAACATACACTCACTGACAAACACAAACACGCTCACTGACAGACACAAAAAAACTACATTTCCCAAGAGGGCATAGCGGTAATTTTGTCGAAAATCGTCACATAATCACAATAAATCACTTATATTCTTCTGGATTTTTAATTGTGTATTGTAATAAAGATTTTTTTACCCTCTTTCCTGAGTGTGCACCATACCCCAGGTGGAAGAAACCCACAACATATCCCATAAGCGGGGATTATACCGCTGTACGCCCTTCACACTAAAGCTAGCTATAGCTGTACTAAATGTGAGTTTATTCTTGTTTATTTCATCTATATACATATTGGACCGTTCATATTGCACTATTGGTTAATTTTATCTGGATTTTGTCTTTCATATGAGTGGAAAAAGACACTGAAGATATTACTCTCGTTTAAGCACTTTATTCTATATTTGAATTGATATTTCAATTTTTTTTTTTAACCCGTCCAATCGCACCCGACGCCCCCCATTCCGGATGGCAGGCACGGACTGATCGACCCGGAACTGGATGACCTACGGTCCAAAGGTGCCATTCAGCTGGCCCGAATTCCGGCGGATTCTTTAACAAAATCTTCCTGGTGAGGAAAAAAAATGGAGAATTCTGTCCGGTTAACCAGCTAAACACCCACATCATATACAGGCACTTGAAGATGGAAGGCATTCACATCCTTCGAGACCTACTTCGGGACAGAGACTGGTTTACGCAGCTGGAAATGAAAGACGCCTACCTCACAATCCCTATTCATGAACAGTGCCATCCCTACCTACGTTTTCTCTGGCACGGGACCTCGTGGCAGTTTACTTGCCTCCCCTTAGAACTTAGCTTGGCACCTTGGTGCTTCACAAAGCTGCTAAAGTCCGTGGTGGTACACCTTCGGACCCGTGGAGTACGCTGCATCATATACTGGACGACATCCTCATCTTCGGCAAGGAGAGACGAGAGCTACGAAAACACACCACTTACACGGTTCAGTTCCTGGAATCACTGGGTTTCATGGTCAACCACGTCAAATCAGCACTGGATCCCTCACAAATGGTCCATTTCCTGGGATTTCAAAATAGACTCCAGATCTTGCATGCTTCATCTCCCAGTGACAAAGGTGGCCTCTATCCACAAGGTTCTCTGCATGCCGTCCTTACCACTTCGCCTCCTCACACGGATTATAGGCCTTCTATCCTCCTCCATCCAGGCGATATTTCCACCAGAACCAGACATATACGACCAACCAGTCCCTATGTCGGACGAGGGTCGGGTAGAACTCCACTGGTGAATGAACTGCATGCAGGCCTGGAATGGTCAAGCCATACTTGGCAACAAGCCAGACTTTGTATTGGAATCAGATGCCAGCCGAATGGGCTGAGGGGCTACAGATGGCACTATTGCCAGAGGAGGCACCTGGACCTCAGAAGAACTCTCCATGCACATCAACTGCCTGGAACTTGTGGGTCATTCGCACTCCACAGTCTGACAAAAAGGAAATCCAACTGCTGCATCCTACTTCTAATGGACAATGTCTCCCCAGTGAGATATATCAACCATCTTGGAGGCACCCGCTTACGAGCACTAGTGTAACTAACGAAGGAGATCTTCGATTACTGCCTGCCCCGCAAGATCACACTCCTAGCAGAACATCTACCGGGGGAATCTAACCCCATGGCAGCGAATGGCAACTAGATCCGAAGATCTTTGCTTCGCTAGATGAACAGAGGGGTCCGTTTTACCTCGACCTATTTGCTTCACGCAACAACCGCCAGACATAGAACTTCCTCAGTTGGCTATCGGACTCTGAGAGCACCGCGGTGGATGCCTTCTTGCAGACAAAGCCAAAGCAAAGGGCCTACGCTTTTCCACCCTTCACAATGATTGCACGGGTTCTCCACCAAGTTCACCTGCAGAGGTCAGTACTAACACTCCTGACACCCCTGTGGCAGGGCCAGCCTCGGTTATCGGAATTTCTGGAGTTGTCATGCAAGGACCCCCTCCACCTACCATCGGACCGACGACTCTCAAGAACCCGATGGGACTATTGCATCCACTTCTCATGGACGGTCGACTCCAGCTGGTGGCTTGGATGCTTTCCGGGGCTCCTGGCCCACTGGAGAATTATAGCAAGATGCTAAGGACCTTCTATGGGACCCCTGGGCTCCAAGAACGAAGAGATGCTACATCTCTGCCTGGCAACAATGGTCCAATTGGTGTGTGGGACAGGACTTCGATCTCTTTACTGCCCTTGTTCCCGCTATTCAGAATTTTCACCTCTGGGAAATCATATCGCTCAATCAACATGGTGCGGTCTGCCATATCTGTGGCTCATGTTACCCTATAGAGGACTCCTGTGGCTCAAGATCCACTCGTTTGCTGTCTCCTTCGTGGCATGTGACTACGGCGTCCTCCGGACCCAAATACGCACGATAATGGGACGTCGGTATCGTCCTCCAATTTGTACGAAATTGGCCCATCAACAACAGGCTATCGCTACGGCAGCTTACGGCAAAATTTATCTTTCTCCTCTGCTTGGTATCCTTTCGACGGGTTTCCATTCGACGCAGATGCTTTTGCGTTTTGCCCGGAAGGTGTGACCTTTCGGGTTTCCTGACATACAAAATCGGACTCATCCTCGTTTTTTTTATCTGTTTTTCCCTTCAGATGGGCAACTCTGTGTGGTATTGACGTTCCGCTGTTACATGGAAGCTACCGCAACGTTGTGGCCTCCTGCATCTCGTCAACTTCTCATCTCATACATTCGACCTCATAATCCGATTTCAGTCATGACACAGATGGATCCGTTAGGTACTAGCTCTAGTGGGTATAGATCCGAACTTCGGAGCTCATTTAGTACGAGGAGCGGCGTCTTCCTCTGTGCTGGTGGCAGGCTCCTCGCTCCACGATATCCTGTGGCAGATTGGTCATGTGAATCTATGTTCCGGACATTCTATTTTTGTCCTGCCGCAAAACCCTGCTTTTTTTCTTCTCTCTCAGCGTTGAAATATCAAAATATGAAGCCTCCTGCCACGTGGTAAAATTGAAGGTTATGTTAGCTTTAGTGTACTAATAATCTTAATTTTAATAATGACAGGAGGTGAATATCCCCCCCGCCCCCCCTCCTACGTTCTCTTGCTTCTTCTCTATCTCCCTCCCTATATCTCCACCTATTTTGTGTTTGTCTATTTTTGTGGATGCTTCTTACATTTGTTCTGTTGTTATGTTTTAGTTCCCTGTTCATTCGGGTCTGGTTTGATTGGGAGTGGGATTTGTTTGATATTAGTTGGGGGTGGATTTCTTGGGTGTAATGTTAACTCCCAGTGCAGGACAGTCCCAGTGCAACCCATTCAGTGAACTAAAACTGTTTATACTCTTTTTCAGCTTAATTGGACACTGCAGGTGATTGCCGACAGTCCTATACTGGAATACTGGTCCTGATGTTCATTGTTTGGAGTTAAAGCACATCATACACCTACAGTTACAAGTGTATTCATGGACTTGCGATGTTGCTGTTAAAGAGGAAGTGACTCGGTTATACACGCCTCTTATATACATTGCTTGTGTTTGATTGGTTCTCAGTTTTTCATTACTTTTCTTTGCTGCTATATGGAGTTAGTATAGAAAGATAAGCAAAATATTTGCCTCCTGTCATTATTAAAATTAAGATTATTAGTACACTAAAGCTAACAATCTTCCATTTTTAATTACAGAACTCCAACTGTATTGGCCTATATAATTGGCCGATATAAAGAATCATTTCTTAATATAATTAAAATCATATAGGGATGTAAACTAGCAGGGGGGGCTTGATATTAAATGATGGAGGGTGGACAAATCACTGTCACTCCCTCTTCCCCACCCATGGTCAGTGTGTGGGGGTTTTTGAAGAAAATTTTAAAAAACATTGGGGACATTTAAATGTTACCAACTGAGGCCATGCATGGTTAGTGGGTGAGGGCTACTTATTACTGCCCCAAAACAGGCTAAATAAAATAAATATATATTCTCAATGCAAAATATATATATTTTTTTAAAAAAGGACCAAATCTGGTGAAAAAAATAAAACGCCCCTCAACAAAAAACATAAGGAGGTGAGAAACACCTTTATAAAAATCAAAAGAGTGGTCTACCAATCAGAGCACTCTACTGACATTTTAAATAGTGGGAAATCCTTTATGAAGCCCTCTCAGTGCTAACATAGACCTATTTTTGTTGCATCATGTTTTTAATTTTTTTTCAAGAGAATAATTCAGTTTTGTTTTTGTTTTTGTTTTTTTAAATCATAGCCTGGATTTGAAGAATCCGGGGATATATTTTAAGTTAAAATCCAAGTTAAATCCGGGGATATATTTTAAGTTAAAATCCAAATGGCCCACATGGATTTATCCACCTTGATAGGCGCCATTCAGAGTTTAACAGTACCCAACCATACTCTTATCCACCATCCTTTCTAGTTTTGGTATTTGTCAATGCTGTTCATTTTTTCAGATTCTTTCCCTTTCAGTCAATTACAGTCACAGAAAAAACATATTTTGGATACTTAGTTTTTAACCTTCTTCAGTTTTTGATGCACCATGTAGAACTAAAAAACTAAGATTGTTGCAAATATTTGTTATGCACCCTGTTAAGTATTAGTCATTTATCTGTGCATACAGGTAATAATATTAATTACAATAGCTACTTCCTGCTTAACCCCTTAAGGACACATGACGGAAATATTCCGTCATGATTCCCTTTTATTTCAGAAGTTCTGTCCTTAAGGGGTTAATATGACTATGCCAATGGTGTAGAGTGATGAATTTTGGCAAAGGAGCAGAAATGAGAAATGCAGGTAAGAAAATGGAGAGTGAAGACAGGAATCTAACTATGTGGGATAGGAGACAAAAATGAAGAGCAAAATATATATCAGACAGGTTAAGGTTGTTACCAATGATCAGAGACCCAATAAATAATTGCGTATGGCACCCCTAAACTTATGACCTAGAAAATAATGAATTGAATACTACAAGAGCCCTGACTCTATAACTGTGTCTTCATATGCTGCATATATATCTCTAAAGCTCCGACAGATTCCTGGTGTATCCCTGCCTCTGAGCAGAGAGCGGGTTGGAATCTGGGTAAGAAGCGTGTCCCGGCGGCTGGAAGCACTGCCTGTAGAATTCTGCCTGCCAGCATGAGGGTGAGAAACTCTGCGGCACAGTTGGGGGTTGCTGTAGAACATATATATCCAGGGATTACTGCAGCTACTCAAACAAGTCAGGAGCATACTGATGGTGAATGCAAAATCTGTGGAATCTAGACAGAGAAAGGAACAGGTTAAGGTAAAAATGTGCACAGGGTTGGCCAAAAGGTTTCTAGAACTTCAGGTCAACGATGACATTGGCATACATGTGTATATATGCCTGTCTATATGTGTGTTTCTATGCTTGCCAATGTATGTGTATATATGCCTGTCTATATGTGTGTTTCTGTGCTTGCCAGTGTATGTGTATATATGCCTGTCTATATGTGTGTTTCTGTGCTTGCCAGTGTATGTGTATATGTGCATACATCCCAGCATTCAAAACACCAACACTACATACAAACACATTCAAACACTCCACACTAGTATACCACTGCTTTCACATAGCAACAATACATACAAACACACAATTCTATTCAAATGCCAACACTACACACAAACGCATACTCTATACAAAACATTCTTACATTCAAACACTGCTCACAAACACAACAGTTGTTGTGTAGTTGTACGATAGATGAGGTTCTACCTTTTGGTCACCCTTCTGCTGGAGAGGGCCCCAAAGAATTATTGCACCATTATTAGTTCCACCACTATTACAATGTCATTGTTTTTCTAAATGTATCTGCCTGCCACTACTATATCGTGACCATACGCCGGTTTGGAGTAGGTCAGGGTTCTGCATTAAGTTTTGTTTTAGGGTTATCCCCTATTTATGGGATGTGGTGCAGGGTGGCACTCGCTCGGATAAACCTTCCCCCACTTTGGCAGTACTGTACAGTCACCTGTACTGTTAAACAAGAAAGGAGACGGCTCTAGCCAACTCCCATTAATCCCTGCCAGCTCCAAATGCTGAAGCCATCTCTTTGCAGCCCCATCGGGCTCCCATTGGACCCTAGAGAAACCTAAAGTATGGGAGCAGGAGGATGGCTAAAATGTGTGTTTCATCTTATTTCTTTGTGTGTGTATATATGCGTATGTGTGTTTATCTGTATATCTGTGTGTGCCTGTTGCAGTATATAGGTGTAGGTATTTCTATCTGTGTGTAAAGTGCATTTGTGTCACACGTGTATCAGTATCTGTAAATACACCCCAACATTCAAACACCAACTCTGTACTCATATACACCGCTGCATTCAGACATTTCCTCTAGACCCAAATACACCCATACACATTATTTTATTGATTCATTGTATGCAAGGAATTAAAATATACCTCAGAACACAGAATTTTACATTCGGCTAAAGTTTGTTGTATGGGACTTCCATGGATATATACTTAAAATTCCGACTTAATGTGACACCTATAACTAATGTACCACTCTTTCCTCTATGCCTATGGATAAATTAATCAATAATTTTCAAAAAAAGACCTCTACATTCAATCAATACTATATACAAATACACACTTGAATTTACAAAAACACCTTAATTCTCAAATACAACCATACAATGATGAGCAAAGGATACAACCGCAGCTGGCAAAGCATTGTGGGAGTTTATGATAGTTAAAGATATACCTTTTGGTCAATCGTGCTCTAATCATTTGTTCCGCCACTGACTAGGATTGTATATCTTCCTTTCCTCTTATGCTGCAAACTTGCCATATACAAAAAATTCTGATGCTTTAAAAGGTATTATAACATATTTGTATTACTTTCCCTGCATTGCATTACTTACATCCCCTTAACACTCTCATATCATAGCACAATTACCTTAAGTTTATATATACCACCCTCATACACTGTTATAATAGTTATTATTATGTTGAAAATGAGACTCGGATAAAATATTCAAGACTCAAATCTGTCTTCATTTAAACTCATATGCCTACTCTCGATTTCTCTACCAATAACTTAATGTCTCTATATCAGTTACTACTTTTTTTGTTTCCATGTCATTTTTCCATGCCACTCCCCTGTTTTTATAGATAGGCACTGTTCTGACCCTGCAGATTGACATGATCTGATTACCTGTCCGATAATATACAGTGTTATTGTGCTGAGAGACAAAGAGATTAGACTTGATTACCCAGCATTGTAGAAAAAAAAAGGTCAGAGCTTCTTACCATCATCAGGAGAGTTTTCGTCCCACACTGACCACATCTGCACACTGAAGAAAGGTGTCCAGCATATGATGTAGGAAAGTACAATGACGAAAGTCATCTTCACTGTTCTGATTTTAGCTCTTGAGATGGTCCTGATGCTACTGACCCTTGAAGGCATCCCCTGCCCATTGCTTCCTCTCTGACCTGGCCCAGCTGTTTGCATTTTTCCTTTAAGATTCTTGCAAATCTCACAACAGATTAAGCTGTAGCATAGTACAAGAATGCCCACTGGTACAATAAATATGGATATAGTGGTCCAAGTGATGTAGACTTTGGCACCCCATGGGTATCTGAAATCGGCCCAGCAGTCTATGATTCCTGAGCCCTGTGTGATCTCCTTTAGAGAAAAAATAAAAATCTGAGGAAGGCTTAAAAGACAACTGAAGATCCATGCAGCCCCTATCATGATATATGCATGCCTACTAGGTTGTTGTAAAGTCTTCAGAGGGTGGCAGACTGCTATGTATCGGTCAATAGTCATCATCATCAGCATATAAGTGGATGCAAACATGCTCATTACTTGGGTATACTTCACAATCCTACACAGAAAGTCAGAGCCAATAAACCGAAAGGTAATATCCCAAATCATTTGGGGTAAGATCTGAAAGACAGCTACTGCCAGGTCCGTGACACCAAGGTGTACAATGAAAAGATGCATCCTAGTCAATTTCTTCTTTCTTTTGTATATGGAAAATATGACACACAAATTACCCACGGTAGTTACTGCTAGTATGGTTCCAAGTATAGCAATCTCAGCTCTTGCCAAATTTTCATCCCTTGGATCCGTGTTGTTATACAAGTTTAATGACTTAATAGAAGTATCTAGGGGATAAGAATTCGGGTCCATGATGTCATCTATGTTAAACTGGTTAGATGCTTACATATATTTTATCCCGAAAATGGATAGAAAAAAAAAAAAAAAAAAAAGAATGTATTCCTCCATACAACTGAAGTTTTACCTCCGGCTGCTAAAGAAAATGGATCTCTTAATTATTGAAGATTAATTGTTGAAGTTCTTCCCAACTGCAAATGTTTATGTTCTTCAATTGGTTAATTGGTTGAATTCTCTATATTTCAGGTCAGTCCATAGATTAATCCAACTAGAAGTATCTTCAAGGTTTCTCCCTTACATTAAAAACTGCATGTTTTGATATGTCAAGTTACACTCGGTCCATAGTCCTGCTTCCACACAAGATGTCATCTAGAAATTTGATGTGTAAATGCAACTTAAATCCTTGGTTGTATAGAGAAGACTGTGTTAGCCAGAAGAAAACAAGAAGACCACAGAGGGGCAGATTGTGCATCACCTCTGCTTTTAAGCCTTTCTCTGTCTCGTACAATAAGATATGTTTGTAGTGCTATACGAGACCATCTGCTACAGCTAAAGAGGGAGGTGCCCTGTCCAAGCAAAAGCTAGGATGAGTTAATGACCTTATTACTGTTTAGTTGCAGGTAACACATAGAATGAGTCATGTTGTTAGCTAAAAAGAAGCAACCTAGTTTAAATCTGTCAATGGAGGTATCTTGAAGATGGTAAAATTAATAACCAGATTGAGACTAAAATATTTTGGCAGGTAAAATCTGCAATATTTTTAATCTCTCAGATATTGCATATGGTTTCAACAGTGAATTGTACACTAAATTTAAAAAACAAAACCTGCCTATAATGTCAAACTTGTTTCCGAATCAGCTATTTTGGGCCAGTTTTTGCATTTGGTTTGCAGGTCACACAATTTCACTATTTAGCAAATCAATTAAACAGAATAAAATAAGGTTATAAAATATTGGGCCAACTGCATTATGTTCAAGATTACCCAGATTAGCTTTTGGTAGTATCTGCTATGTATGTGAACAGTGGCGGAACTACCGCGGTTGCAGCAGTCACAGCAGTCGCAGTGGTTGCCGATTAGACCAGTCCCGTCGACCCCTCGGAGGGTATGAAGGAGTTGAGACTTGGGGTAGCCGAGGCGTGAGGTGCAGATAAGTCTATGATCAGTTACAGTGTGAGGGAAGATTCCCTGTGACAATCCCACTGTAAATGGTGTAGATTGGAGAGGCCCAGGTAGAAATCTTTCTGCCATTTCTTGGGCCATGAGTGTAATGCCAGCTGTTGGATGCTGCTGTGATGACTGCAAGTTAGGGCATTCTAGATTCCCCCAAAAGTATATGGCAATACCCAGGGCCGGACTGGGAGAAAAATTCGGCCCGGGCATTTTTTTAACACAGCGGCCCACTAAAAAGGGGGCGGGGCAGAGGAGGTGTGTTTTGTCATCACCAATGACAAACCTGCCTCCTCTCAAAGTGAGCATGTTGGTTCAATGCTCTTCCAGGGCAGACCATGCGCAGAGCTCTGCTGAAGAGCTCTAGCATGAGAAAAAAGTCCTGTGTTTGTCTGCACAGTGCAAGCAAATTTAATAACATGCTTGCACTGTGTTTCCTTGCAACTTGTCTCTGGTGTCTCTATAAATGGATACCAGGAGACAAAAGGGCCAGGAAAGAGTATTGTGCATGTGTTTGGAGCCTGCTTGTGGTATAGTGTGTAGAGTGAGCTGGTCGTGGTGTGGTATTGTGTAATAAGGTCGGTTTTAGTCGTGTTGTGTTTGTGGTGTAATGTGATGCATATGTGGCTATGGGCTGTAGAGAATGTGTGTATTGGGGATATAGCAAGTGTGTGCATACAGGCTATAGTGTGTCTGTGTTTAGGGGTGTAGTATGTGTTTGCTTACAAGGAATCTAGTGTGTGTATAGGGGATCCAGAGTGTGTATGTTAAAGGACCACTATAGTGCCAGGAAAACACTCGTTTTCCTGGCACTATAGTGCCCTGAGGGTGCCCCCACCCTCAGGGACCCCCTCCCGTCCGGCTCAGGAAAGGGGTTAAAACTTACCTTTTTCCAGCGCCGGGCGGGGAGCTCTCCTCCGCCGATCCACCCCGTCGGCTGAATGCACACGCGCGGCAAGAGCTGCGGGCGCATTCAGCCGGTCGCATAGGAAAGCATTTATAATGCATTCCTATGGACGCTTGCGTGCTCTCACTGATTTTCACAGTGAAAAGCACGCAAGCGCCTCTAGCGGCTGTCAATGAGACAGCCGCTAGAGGCTTTGGGGGAAGGCTTAACCAATTGATAAACATAGCGGTTTCTCTGAAACCGCTATGTTTATAAAACAATGGGTTAACCCTAGAAGGACCTGGCACCCAGACCACTTCATTAAGCTGAAGTGGTCTGGGTGCCTAGAGTGGTCCTTTAAGAGTGTAGTGTGTGCGTGTGTATATATATATATATATATATATATATATATATATTTGGAAGTATTGTGTATGTGTGTGGTGCAGTGTGTTGGGGGGGTTCTGTGTGTATGTGAGGGGTGCAGTATGTGTGTGTGTGAGGGGTGCGGTGTGTGTGTGAGAGTGCGGTGTGTGTGAGAGTGCGGTGTGTGTGTGTGATGTGTGTGAGAGTGCCGTGTGTGAGTGATGGGTGTGAGAGTGCTGTGTGTGAGAGTGCTGTGAGAGAGTGCTGTGTGAAAGTGCTGTGTGTGTGAAAGTGCTGTGTGTGATGGGTGTGAGAGTGCTGTGTGAGAGAGCTCTGTGAGAGAGTGCTGTGTGTGTGAAAGTTCTGTGTGTGATGGGTGTGAGAGTGCTCTGTGAGAGAGTGCTGTGAGTGTGAGTGTGATGGGTGTGAGAGTGCTGTATAAATGCTATTGTGTGTGTGTGTGTGTGGGGGGGTAAATAAACAAAAAACAGGCATTATGTCCCACCCCCCTCCCTTCTTACCTTTAGCCTGGGAGGGGGGGGACCGGCACGCTGGGACTGGGTGGCAGTGTTCCCTGGTGGTCCTTGTGGGTGAGTGAACTTTAGCCTGTGAGGCTAGAGTTCACTCTCGCGAGATCCGGTCGTTGCCATGGCAACGCGCCAGATCTCGCGAGAGGAACCCGACGGAGCTGCAAGTTAGAGCTCCGCCGGGTCCTCCTCTCCTGGTGGCTGTCTCCCTCCCTCTCTCCCTGCCGGCGGCCGCATTTGGGCCGGTGAGGGAGATCTTTGATCTCCCCACCGGCCCGTCGTGGCAAACAGCGGGGCCGGCGCTAGGAGAGTGCCGGCCCTGCATAGACCGGCAGGGGAGATCCTGAGACCTCCCCTGCCGGCCTCAGCCCATGGCCACCGCGGCCCACTGGGCATTTTCCCGGTGTGCCCGATGGCCAGTCCGGGCCTGGCAATACCTGTACGGAAGGCCTTTAAAATTCGGAGATTAGGAAATCAACTAAATGTCTGGAAGGGTGATGAGTTAGAAAGTACTGGAAATGCATAATGTTTACAGATGTGAAGTAAGGTTCAGGGTACATTTATTGGGACACATGGTTTGCATGTGCCCTGACATATTGAGAACATATCTGCAACAGTCGGCATGCACTGAAACTACATCTGCCAACATGGAAATTGCCATTATTATATGAACCCACAGTGTGCTAGTACTGGCTTGCTAGCTAAAGCCGCATGGCGAAACAATTGATCCTTTGTTTGGTGACAGGTAAGGCCCTGCTAGTTGCCAAGTGGCTTGAGAGGCTCTATCTATGCAATGGCGCAATGAGATTTTTGTGGCCACCAAACGTAGTGGCAGGATGTTGGCCTCTCGGTGACTGTAACCAGAAAAAAGGGGAAGGGAGTGACAGGTGAGGCCCTCTCTATATACCATGCGAGGCGGCTAGCACACGAGTGGCCCAATGGGTGTTTGCCTCCGAGCGTTGAGGCGGGGTGTTGGCCTCACGGGACCACTATACGACAAGCGCAGATGCCAAGAAAGGAGAATACCTATTGGAAACCTATAGTCCCTAATTGCCAGTACGCTAAAGATATACCCAGGGGGAAACAGAAAATGTATGTATATACCACATGAGCAGGTGTTTGTACCTGGTAGTATGATTAGATACTCTTACTGGTCGGAAGGGTTATTAATACCTGTGAAAATACGTAATTGGAAGGACTTATATTTTAAGCGTGCAAACATGCAAATATTCTGTATTAGACTCTGGAATCCTGCATAGTACTTTAAATAGTATGTGCATTCTTGGGTAAATGTATGCGTATTGTCAGCAAATGTAACTAAATGCCTATGTAGGCAGGTATGCAGGATTGATTATATCATAGCAAGCATGAGTTGTAAGGAAGTGTTATTGTGTAATTATAATTATAGTGGGAATGTTATGAGGGGAATAACCATATGTCTGAAAAGCCTGTAGTATACCGTTTGACAGATAGGAGTCAGTATAAAAGCAAAAATGCTGTAGTTAGTTTGTTTGCTTATTAAGTGAAATAAAGTCTGAGAAGCCTGTAGTATACCGATTGACCGGTAGGGGTCAGCATGTAGGCGAAAATGCTGTGGTTCGTTGGTTTGTACATGAAATGCAATAATGTATGAGAAGCCTGTAGTACACTGAATGACCGGTAGGGGTCAGTGTGTAGGTGAAAATGCAGTGGTTTATTGGTTTGCACATGAAATGCAAAAAAGTCTAAGAAGCCTGTAATACACCGAATGACCGGTAGGGGTCAGTGTGTAGGCGCAAATGCAGTGGTTCGTTGATTTGTACACGAAATGCGATAATGTCTAAGAAGCCTGTAGTACCCCAAAAGACCGGTAGGGGTCAGTGTGTAGGTGAAAATGCAGTGGTTCGTTGGTTTGTACATGAAATGCAATAATATCTAAGAATCCTGTAGTACACCAAAAGACCGGTATTTCGTTTGTAGTTTTAACCGAACAGATTTTAAACAACAGATTTTACATGAACAGCTGAGTATAAGGTAACGAAATAACCGTGCAAAATGAAAGGAAACCGTAAAGTGAGGACCTGTGCTGTGC